TAAAAGGTACGATACATTTAAATAGGAAAAATCAAAAGCTTTTGTGTTTTCCTGCCTTTTTGGCTAAGAGCTCAACGTCATTTTAACTTTGTGGTATTTTGTTGAAAAAATTATTTATGAATCTATATCTGTTCCTGGTAGGTGAATGAATGAGACTTGGATTTCTGAGTGCAGTTGACATCTCCTAAACCACGGACTTTGGCTGTGCATGATATATGGCCTTAGGATAAGGAGTTCTTTCACGAAAGACAGCGGGACTTCTGCCTTCTGACTGCTCGTCTGTATCCCAAGGAGGCTGCCCTGTTCATGGATGCCAGGTGTGAACTGTGAGAGGTGAAGGCAGATGATGTGCCTGAAACTTAATCATAGCCAGAGCTAGAATTTTCTTTTTTGAGGGTTAGAGCCCCCAACAGCTTGCTCACCAAGTTCTGAACCTCAGGTGAATAGTGAAAACCACAATCTGCAAAGAATATGTGTCTTGTTTTCATTGAAACTAAGATTAATAGAATTTCAGTAGCATTGCACTTAGAATTATTAAATTGGTCCAGAATCAAAATTCATTAAGCAGTTTCCAATAGTTCATGATACGTGTTCTTTCTGTTTAATCTTCCAAGTAAAGCTTGACTCCATATGACTTTCAAAATTTTATAGATTGCATTTTAATTATCCTCATGCATAAACTATATGATGGGCAAGAAGTCCTGTAGTCTAAAACAAATCCTTAAAACTCCTCTGTGGGTATTTACATGTATTTCAATATTCTTGTCACTCTCTGTATCTTGGCCTTTACATTGGAGAATCTCCCTCTGTTGGAAAAGTCAATGTTAAGACTGGTTGTTGTTTCAGTAATATTCTCTTGGTAATGTGCCACTGGGTAAATCTTGTTTCATGAGTTCCAGAAAGCATTTGGCTTCAGCAATACAAAGGACCATTGCAAACATTTTTGGTCAGTTTTGATTGAATGCAGATTGCAGGATTGTTTTGTTATACAACATTATTCCTTCAGTAGTCGCATATTACTTTCTAATGATAATCATTTGCATTTCGAGATCCCGTTTTGCAATGAGTTAATGCAGAATTTATCTGTGTCTTTACTGGGCTTCCCTCTGATTTGAGAGAAGGCCTGCGACTCCCGGGCTTTCACATGGCTGCTGTATTAAATGGCTTAATGGACCAGTAGGCAGAAATCCTTGAGAACTACCCAAACATGTGAATGATTCTGATACTGTAGCAAAAAAAAAAAAAAAAAAAAATTCGAAAAATATACTCTGAGCTGTTTCATCACCATTAAAAAAAAATGTTTTCATATGAATGTTATTGCTCTTAGACTTATATAACACAAAAGGTAACTGGAAGGTTAGGCAATTCCGTTGGACGTTGGGGCCCAACCAGCATCCAGCTTTTCTTTTTATTGTCTGCCGCCTCCGCCCCCATATGCTTCTTTCTCACTCCACTTCTGGTGGTCCAGGGTATACTCTGCAGATGTTTCTCCCACACAGTGGAAACATTCCCTAATGTGTCTGTACACTTCCAGGCTCTGCTCATATGGGAAAAGGAAAAATTGGAGCGAAATAATGAATTTCTGAATTGGTCTTATTTCCTTTTGTGCCTTTCAAAAGTGCTGAAATAGAAAAGAAAATAACTTTAGACCTATTCACCTTTCCCACACTGCTCACTATAGAAACTCGTTTATAAAGTTTTTTTTTCATTTTAAAAAGTAAATAATTTCATCATGAAATCGTTCAGAAGTCCAAAGCTATTCTATCATAGAAATAGCTTATGTTTATATACTTACTTTCTAATATTTTAAAAATAAGAGTTATTATAAATGTTGTCTATTTGGAAAATTAAAATATATGTGGCTTATTCTATATGAATCTTATAGACTACAACCTGAAGTTTTCCAATAATTCTTATAGAGGATTGCACAGTGGCAAGTCAAATCAGTATGCTAAAAATGCAGGACTCATAGATAACAAGAGAAAACGACAGCATGTTTCTTTTCTACTCCACTTCTATTCTCTGTACAGCCAAATATTTTTTACCTTTGAATAAAACTATGGGCCGTGTTCAAAATGTCCAAGACCTCTTCCAAATTATGATTCCTTTAGTCATAGTGATCATAATAAAATATTCTCAATTCATGAATTAATGTGTCCATGTCTGTTTGAAAATCATCTCCAAATTTGGGTAAAGTTAGTTTTTCTGGCTCCTCCCTCCCTTCCCGTTTGGCCTGCTGCAGGTGAGAGGCTCAAAGTGTGCATGAAAGTGTATGTGTTGTGTAGATGGTTACTTGGGTTGAGTCTTGGCATCCTTTGACTCTGTCACATCCTCTCTGGCTTCCAAATCCTAGACCTTGGTTGTGGCTGAAGCAGGTTGGATTCCTCCATGCTTTACTTTCCAAGTATGAGAAGAACTTGGGCCATCCGGTTTTCCCTGGTTGAAAGAGGATTAGCTAGAATCTTTACAGCATTAAAGTTCTCTCCAAAAATTCTTTCCCTCATCTTTATATTAAATTCATGAATTTCCTACATTTGTATGTGAGGTTTTGAGAGTCTCAGCATTAATTTTTGGCAAAGTTAGTCTTTCATGATTTTCTATAACCTCACTTTGAAATTTAGGATTAAATGGCGGTGATTATCTTGGAATTCAGCAAAACCGAAACTGAAAAAGTAAGTTTTTCCTTGAGTTATTTATGTTGTCATAAATAAAGAGGGAGTTTTTAATTCACTCATATGACAAATAATCATTTAATGAGAGAACACTTTACAAGGAAAATTACATTTGATTAAAGATCTCTTGAGATAAAAATCAAATCATACAATGTGTTCTAGTTTTCTAGGGCTACTCTATTAATGTGCTGCTAGTGGGGTGGCTTGAAAGCAGAAATTTTACTCACAGGTATGGGGGAGCTATAAATCTAAGTTCATGGTGTCAGTATGGGTGGTTCCTCATGAGAAAGAAGAGGGAGTATGTGCCCCTCTTTCCTAGATAATGAAAACTAGTAACGTTAAATATATAAATCACACACTTGAATGATTAACTGAACTTTAGATATACAACTATGGAGCTATGACTCTAATGTGACTACATTAAATTTAATAAAAATAATGATGATGTACAAGAATGTGATATAATAGGCCTAAAATACTGGGCAATTCTATCAAATCAAATCAAGTAGAAGAATGGGCTTCTTAAAGGCAAGTAGCAACTCTCTATACAAACCTAGGACCTTAGAACTTTAAAAACAAATGAGGCATTCTGGACTCATCTAGTTTATCCTAGAATTAAAGCATTTATTCTGTAAAATTTATTTTGCACATTGTATCATCATATGTAATAGGAAGCACTTTGTACTTAAACTACTGAGTCTATACATGTAAGGATTTGCCTTAGATACCTGACATCTTAGCATGAAGAAACATGCAGTATGGGAGATGCAGAGGTTTTAAATTTTATTTTGGCTATTGATTATGCATCATAGGCCTGAGCAAGTTTTTAAACCACAGAATTCACAATTGTCTTCTATAAAATATTCTTACTAGAACTTAATCTGTGAATTTAGAGACTAAATAAAATGTTGAGTACTACTCAATGAATAATTCTACCTTTCCTCCATTTGTCCTTCTTATGAAAGATTAGCCAACCTGAGAATTTTAAAATTATTTGCAAAGTCTGTTTGCATCTCTCCACTAGTGGTTGTGAGTAATTGATGTGTCCTATTTATAGTGTTTTTCCTCTTGAGAGAATGAGAGAGCTAAAGTACTTGCAGTCAAGAGTAAGCATAAATTACATGGCATCATCCAAGATCAATTTATAACATTAATATTAGCTATGTGATCTGTCATCATGTATTAGTGCTGGGCAGGAGAAAACTGGACTGGAAAATTAGCAAGGTTGAAGGTGAAGAACACAGTGTCCCAATTAACACTGATAGGCCCTGGGAACACTACTTATCTGGGAATCATTTCACTTTCAAAGGCCTGAAAAACTGTAGCTCAAGCATTTACGCATTTCTAAAAGAAAATCATAAATAATCATAGAGACTAACTGAACGAGAAGAGAGAATGCATAAGTTAGAGTGTACCATAAAACCATTTTCTATCATGTTAAAGTTCTTTTTTCTGAACATAAACTCATTTTTAGGTCTCTCCCTAAATTCACATATATTCCACCTTACACACACACACACGAGCACACACGCACATAACTCCTGGGGAAACCTTTAAACCACTCTGACATTTTAAAATATACTTAAATATTTGTGAAACATCTCTTTTCATTGTCATTTCTGAATGCAGATCTTTAGGATATAGAATCTACGTATTAAGAGTTTATGCACAAAGTTTAGCAATTTCAAGCCAGTAGAGGGCTCCCTGCTTTAACAAGAATTCTAAGGATGCAAAGTCCTGCAACAACTTTTGGCAAATGACAAAGTAGGACTTAATATTTGTAATGGAATTAAGTACTTGTTGTAATTCTGTGTTAAATTAAGGTATAAAAGATGAATGAAGTCATTCTGAACTCTTCTTCTGATGCTTGAGATGTAATTTGTTAATTTCTCCATCATGCAAATTTTAACCTTCTGATTTTCCAGCTTCAAGTACTACACCATGAGTCTACATACACTTGTAATTACTCCGTATTTCTTTCAATAGTTCCATATTTTTATTTTTTTGAAGCCCAAATAACATACTTTTAAAATGAGGTGACCAACTCAACAACTTCTTTCACTACAGGTGTTCACTGGTAGAACAGCATCAACTGTCTTAGTGCCTATAACTCTGGTTTCTTAAATTACAACTTTGAATCTAAGAAATATCAGATGAAGGGAAGAAAAACCCCAATTTTTCAGTCCTCCTCCTTTATACGATCCCACTTACTACTGTTGGTTCCCTGCTAATGAAATACCTGGTGTATTTTTGCAATCCTAGTGAATAAGGTACACACAAGCCTGGACGAGTTATATTTAGAGAAATTTATTAACATTATTGTGACAATTTAAAATAACAGAGAATTACTGCATGCTACTCATTCTGCCAAAACAAATTGATCAAATACATCAGAATATGTATCACACATTAATCTGCTGAATAAATTAATTCTGACAAATTCTATTCATTTTCATTTCAGTGATGTCTTTTTCTGTAATGTAGGCTATATGGTTTACAAAGGTAAATATAGCCTCATGCTGACAAATAATGAAATTTTTTTATGATGAGAAATATGTATGCAAACATAATGTTAACAAATGTCAAAGGAAAAATCAAATTGATACAAATGCAATAATTCTTTTTACTATTTTTAATTTTTCTCCCTTTCTCTTATTCTTATTGGCTTAGATACTACCAGTAAAATAGCATCATTATATGTGAAATAATTTGCCTTTGATTCTGGCAATAAAAGAAAGTTTTAATAGAAAATAATAATGAGGAAAGCAAGAAGAGTATATAAGTATATATGCCTTTCATTAAAAAATGTTTCTTACAATCATTGTATAAGATAGTTATATTCCTATAGACTGCAATAACACTGGTTACAAGCAACTGATTAAAATAATAGAATTATGTACAAACAAGTTATTTCCAAGGGCTGGAGACAAGTTGTTTTATGCATTTCACTCCCCAGAAAGCAATGCAGATGGCAAAAAAAATCTGAAAAACAAACAAACAAAACACACACACAAAGGAAAAACAATTAAAATTAAATCAATACTTTTGCTTAACTGAGTCAATATATCTTTCATGGCAAAAAAAGAAATTAAAACTTTAGACGATGTAATTATTCAACCTGAAGCTACTAATTGTTCACTGATAGAATTGAATCCAGCATAAGGCCCATTTGAAGACAGGAGTGGGAGTAAAATGTTTTGTTTTTGTGGGGCGTTTTTATACTTACAAATTTGGGTCATTTCTAGGGGGGGCTATGTAAGTTAGGTGTGAATGAAATAACTTTTTCTGGTCTTGTGGCATATAGCAAATTGTATTTTGTTAAATTACCTCAGTCTTTATAGTTTAACAGAATTTTGGAGAAAGAACATAGGAACAGTATTCAATAATCATTACTCTCTGAGGCAATGTGGTAGTGCATATTAAAACATCATCCTGGCCCTCACTGATGGCACAGCGGGTTAAAGCACAGCACTGAGAACCTAAAGCCACTTCCGCATGAGTTTGATTTCCACCTGCCCCAAAAGTGACCACATGGCGAGGCAGACCTCTCCTGACCCACCCGCTGCTCTCCTCAGCAGTGTACTTCGTCGATATGCCTGTTCAGCTCCCCACTCTGTCTCTGGTGAAGCCTCTCCCTGCCCCTGAGCCTCTGGCCTGTACCTCAGTTCTGTATGAACAAATATATAAATCTTTAAAAAAAAATTAAAAAAATTAAAAATTCATAAAAATGATAACAAAAAATTACAATGCCTCACTACAAAGAAGAAATTATCAGTAGGGCCCTCCCTGCTGGTGCAACTGGTCAAAGCGAACCACCAACAAGCTTGCAGCAGCCACAGCAGCACAAGTTCAATCCCCTGCCAGGGAGGTGACCCAAATGGTGTGGCAGACCTCTCCTGACACATCCACTGCTCCCCTCAGCAGTGTACTTCATGGATATTCCTGTTCTGCTCCCCACTCTGACTCTGGTGAATCCTCTCACTGACACTGCACTTCTGGCCTGAATCCTGGTTCTGTATGATAAATAAATAAATCTTAAAAAAAAAAAAAAAGAAGAAGAAAAAATTATCAGCAAAGGAATAAAAGATATAAAGAAGAAGAAGAAAAAAAAAAAATGAAAATTTAAGGACTTAAATAGAATAACTGAAATGAAAAGGTCCATTGATGGAATCAACAACTAAATCCAAGGGACATAGGAAGAATCAATGAACTGAAAGACAGAACAATGAAGATTACCCAATCTGAAACAACACAGAGAAAACAGATTTTAAAAATGAACAAAGATTCAAGGACTGTAGCTCTTTCTTTCTATACTACAGCTTCATTCAAAAAGTTCACATAGAACTTTTCATTCTACTTTTAATGCCCTGTATTTTATTTCTAACTCTAGTTTTTCAGTACCACATTCTTTATCCTTGGAAATATTTTCTTGCTCATTGTTATTTTCCCTAACTCTTTTGGATATGCTAAAGACAACCACTGAATTTAAAAGTAAATTACTATTATATATAAAAAAAAAAATCATCCTGGCCCTTTGTAGTGTCACAAGAGGTTAAACACAGCACTGTGAAGCTATCCACAGCCACTGCAGCATGAGTTTGATCCCTGGCCAAGGAGGTGACCCACATGGCACAGCAGACCGCTACCGTCTCACCCATTTCTCCCCTCACCAATGTATTTCAGTTCCTCACTTTGTCTCTGGTAAGTACCCTCACCCACTTTGTCTCTGGTAAATAGGCACCCCAGGCCTATACCCCAGCTCTTGTATGTATAGATAAATAAATCTTTAAAAAAAAATCACCCAACAGGAATTAGAGTTTGAACACTTCTTTCTACTGACTTACCATCTCAGTCCTTTCACCTTATCAGGTATGTAAAGGTACATGCAAAAATTCTCTTTAAATATGATAACTAAATCACTAGCAGCCACAGAGATTATTTTGTTTACTTTTTTGGTTTTGAGTATCACCACACATTTTCAGTAATTTACCAAAATTAGCTACATGAAACTCTTGATTTCTAATGATCCTCAGCATGAATGTACAGTTGCACATTTCTCACTATGAGTAAACAATGCCATAATACACATCTTCTACACTCCCTGAGATAGAAATCCAGGTACCATCAGAGCTTTCCTAACTCAATACTTTTCACTATGCTTACTATGCACCCAAATTAAGCTTTTATGCAGATGTCAACAACAATATTAACATTTGAAGCTGCCTTAGAAATCAACTATAATATATTTAAAGTCTGGTTTTGACTTTGTTTCTTTTTACTGTAATTCAAGAAAAAAAATGACCTTGTGATTTCTCATGATGATGTCAGGTAAAATAAAGTCATGATTGTAGAGTATTTGTGAAAACCTTCAGATCTATGTCATGAATTTTTCTATAAAGATGGATTAATGGTGACAGCGAGACTCCCAGAAAATAACTTTCAAGTGGGATAGAAATGATAAATCTACAATATCAGGACAGTTTAATTTGGATCTATAATAGTCACTGAACAACCAGTAGATATTTTATATTGTGCAAGGTACTGGAATCTGTGATGTATTTGGTAATAGAAGTTTTTATGGGGTTTGAATCTACTGTCCAGTGTCACAGGATTGTTTCCATGGGTGAAAGCTAGAGGGAATTATTTCAGTAAAACCTCTAAAACTGTATGTAAATTATTGTATGTCATGATTCTGCTCTTTTACACCCCTCCTCCCTCACTCAAACTTACATCGGGAGCCCCAGAAATGTTTAAAACTTCAAATATAGCAAGATAAGGAGAAGATTACAATATAATCCATGCATTTGTTGTTAATCCACCACCTCACAACCAAATCCTTCTAATTCTACAACTACGATTCAAGTCTTTTTTCCTGTAGGCCTTTACTTTACTGAATCAAATCACAGATCTTGCTTTTCTAATTATCTAAAATGTTTCTAGCTTCTTACCAAAGAATTCAATATTGCAGTTTGCCATTTTTTTTTTCTTTGTCCCTTGCCGCCAGACCCCTGTGTACTATCCCTGAAAATAAGAGTGGGGAAAAGTGATAGAACACAGGGACCCTGATTTGAATTCAGCTATAATGCTCAACATGAACCATGCTGAGGTGAGGCATTTCCTTAGGTGCTTTTACTAGATTCTGATGTTTAATTCTCATGACAAACCTGAAAGATAAATATACAGTTTGCTGATGAGGAAACAATCACTCTGATTCTATGTGATTTGCCATGAAATCAGAAGACTATTATACATCAGAGCCCAGGTGATGGTTTTCATTCACTATCCTGAAGAAAATCTACCTAAAACAAAACTGACTAAAAGTCAGTTCAATGAATATTAATATCAATATTAAATTATTTTCTTCTGTTAAGTATCACCTGCTCTTGCCTGGTGATTTCAGAGTAACTGCCAGGATTTGGAAGTTTTATACATTCATAATTTTAAACATAACACTGGAATTTTTGTGCATAATGAAGTCCACATTGGTATAGGGTCAAACTAATGTATGACCCTGCAATGTTTACCCAGTTTCATTAGAAAACAGTTAAGTAGGAAAAGATAGATTTTCTCTTTCTTTTATATATGACTGTGTAGTAGTGTCTAAGTATATATTTTATATACTTAATTAAAATGGTTTCAACAATCGATAAAAAGTGATTATTGCAGTCATTTCACTTGAATTTTCTCTGATGTCCAGTCTTCTCTTATTTATTTTTTATTATGCTATTCATGAAGACACAGCTAATCAGAATGAATGTTATCATTTGCGATAACATCTCACAAACACATTACATAACCAACTGCTAAAATCAAGACAAGACAGGGATGTTAACACTCAGGCTAGTAAAAGAATAAAAGGCAAGCATAGCAGGTTTGTTTCTTTTGCTTGCAACTTCCTTCTCTATAGATATGATATTTCTTGATATGTACAAAATCAGTGAACAATTGTTTTATCCTAGGTCTGTAAAGCCCCATGATTTTAACAGCTGGATGCAAAATATGAAACAGAGGAAGTAAACTTTTGGTGTCAAGCTCTCCTTGCGCTAACACATCATTAGTGGCCTTTGTCTTCAGGCTATTTCCTTGACTTCCCAGGGCCCTTGACTCTGATGCCTGAACTCTGGCCTGTACAGATGCTCTCCACATTTCCTGCACCCCTTTACAAAAAGCTCATCAACTGGCAGGTGGCTAATCTGAGCTACTAATCCATATTAAACACCAGTGGGGACTGATGTGTTACTCTGCTGCCCTTCTTACTTATTCTGTGCTTTTAACAGGTCTCATTAAAAGTGGCCCTTGTTCTTTATTTAAATTTTATTTTAAGGTTTATTTGAGAAGTGGGGTACAGGCCAGAAGTGAGGGAGAATGAGAGGATCACCAAAGACAGAGTGGGCAGCAGAACAGGCAGATTGACAAAGTACACTGCTGAGGGGAGCAGCGGGTGAGACAGGAGAGGTCTGCCACACCATGTGGGTCAGCTCCCTGGCCAGGGATCAAACTCATGCTGTATTGGCTATGGATAGCTTCAGAGTATACCAAAAGGCCAAAAGTGGCTTATCTTATGAGTATCAAGCATTTAATCTTAAAGGAGAGAGAATAGTATCAGAAGAGCATTTGTGTGTATATGGCATCTCCTCAAATTGTTAGTACTCAAATTACAGAGCTAGTGTGCTGTTCTTACATTTCTGTGGTTTGGATTCACCTATTATATGTAAATGATCTGGTGCAAAAGATCATTGTTTTTTTGAATAAAAAATAATACTCTGAGCACAAGGTCATTTCTGTTATAACTAGCGATATCCAACATTGATGGAGGTGATAGTTGAAATTATTTTGCTGTTATATAGACTTGCAAGTAAAATGAAAGCTTTAAAATACTATCAAAATCAATCACAAGATTAAGAAAATCTTTGAAATGCTAAATCTCTAAAAAGTTGAATGAACAAGTAGATAAACTGAGACATTTTGTAAATGATGGATAA